CCCTAACTTCTCAGTTGCTCTCATACCACTCTCTCAGCTACCCTAACTTCTCAGGTGCTCTCATACCACTCTCTCAGCTCCCTAACTTCTCAGTTGCTCTCATACCACTCTCTCAGCTACCCTAACTTCTCAGTTGCTCCTACCACTCTCTCAGCTACCCTAACTTCTCATTGCTCTCATACCACTCTCTCAGCTACCCTAACTTCTCAGTTGCTCTCATACCACTCTCTGAGCTACCCTAACTTCTCAGTTGCTCTCATACCACTCTCTCCGCTACCCTAACTTCTCAGTTGCTCTCATAGCACTCTCTCAGCTACCCTAACTTCTCAGTTGCTCTCATACCACTCTCTCAGCTACCCTAACTTCTCAGTTGCTCTCATACCACTCTCTCAGCTACCCTAACTTCTCAGTTGCTCTCATAGCACTCTCTCAGCTACCCTAACTTCTCAGTTGCTCTCATACCACTCTCTCAGCTACCCTAACTTCTCAGTTGCTCTCATACCACTCTCTCAGCTACCCTAACTTCTCATTTGCTCTCTTACCACTCTCTCAGCTACCCTAACTTCTCAGTTGCTCTCATGCCACTCTCTCAGCTACCCTAACTTCTCAGTTGCTCTCATACCTCTCTCTCAGCTATCCTTACTTCTCAGTTGCTCTCATACCACTCTCTCAGCTCCCCTAACTTCTCAGTTGCTCTCATACCACACTCTCAGCTACCCTAACTTCTCAGTTGCTCTCTTACCACTCTATCAGCTACCCTAACTTCTCAGTTGCTCTCATACCTCTCTCTCAGCTACCCTAACTTCTCAGTTGCTCTCATACCTCTCTCTCAGCTACCCTAACTTCTCAGTTGCTCTCATACCTCTTCTCTCAGCAAACCCTAATTTCTCATTGCTCTCATGCCACTCTCTCAGCTACCCTAACTTCTCAGTTGCTCTCATACCACTCTCTCAGCTCCCCTAACTTCTCAGTTGCTCTCATACCACTCTCTCAGCTACCCTAACTTCTCAGTTGCTCTCATACCACACTCTCAGCTACCCTAACTTCTCAGTTGCTCTCTTACCACTCTCTCAGCTACCCTAACTTCTCAGTTGCTCTCATACCACTCTCTCAGCTACCCTAACTTCTGAGTTGCTCTCATACCACTCTCTCAGCTACCCTAACTTCTCAGTTGCTCTCATACCACTCTCTCAGCTACCCTAACTTCTCAGTTGCTCTCATACCACTCTCCCCACTACCCTAACTTCTCAGTTGCTCTCATACCTCTCTCTCAGCTACCCTAACTTCTCAGTTGCTCTCATACCTCTCTCTCAGCTACCCTAACTTCTCAGTTGCTCTCATACCTCTTCTCTCAGCTACCCTAACTTCTCAGTTGCTCTCATGCCACTCTCTCAGCTACCCTAACTTCTCAGTTGCTCTCATACCTCTCTCTCAGCTATCCTTACTTCTCAGTTGCTCTCATACCACTCCTCTCAGCTCCCCTAACTTCTCAGTTGCTCTCATACCACTCTCTCAGCAAACCCTAACTTCTCAGTTGCTCTCATACCACACTCTCAGCTACCCTAACTTCTCAGTGCTCTCTTACCACTCTCTCAGCTACCCTAACTTCTCATTTTGCTCTCATACCACTCTCTCAGCTACCCTAACTTCTGAGTTGCTCTCATACCACTCTCTCAGCTACCCTAACTTCTCAGTTGCTCTCATAACCACTCTCTCAGCTACCCTAACTTCTCAGTTGCTCTCATACCACTCTCTCAGCTACCCTAACTTCTCAGTTGCTCTCATACCACTCTCTCAGCTACCCTAACTTCTCAGTTACTCTCATACCACTCTCTCAGCTACCCTAACTTCTCAGTTGCTCTCATACCACGCTCTCAGCTACCCTAACTGGTCATTTGCTCTCATACCACTCTCTCAGCTACCCTAACTTCTCATTTGCTCTCATACCACTCTCTCAGCTACCCTAACTTCTCAATTGCTCTCATACCACTCTCCCAGCTACACTAACTTCTCAGTTGCTCTTATACCACTCTCTCAGCTACCCTAACTTCTCAGAGTTGCTCTCATACCACTCTCTCAGCTACCCTAACTTCTCAGTTGCTCTCATACCACTCTCTCAGCTACCGTAACTTCTCAGTTGCTCTCGTACCACTCTCTCAGCTACCCTTACTTCTCAGTTGCTCTCGTACCACTCTCTCAGCTACCCTAACTTCTCAGTTGCTCTCATACCACTCTGTCAGCTACCCTAACTTCTCAGTTGCTCTCATACCACTCTCTCAGCTACCCTAACTTCTCAGTTGCTCTCATGCCACTCTTAGCTACCCTAACTTCTCAGTTGCTCTCATACCACTCTCAGCTACCCTAACTTCTCAGTTGCTCTCATACTTCCCTCTCAGCTATCCTAACTTCTCAGTTGCTCTCATACCACTCTCTCAGCTACCCTAACTTCTCAGTTGCTCTCATACCACTCTCTCAGCTACCCTAACTTCTCAGTTGCTCTCATACCACTCTCTCAGCTACCCTAACTTCTCAGTTGCTCTCATACCACTCTCTCAGCTACCCTAACTTCTCAGTTGCTCTCTTACTTCTCTCTCGGCTACCCTAACTTCTCAGTTGCTCTCATACCTCTTCTCTCAGCTACCCTAACTTCTCAGTTGCTCTCATGCCACTCTCTCAGCTACCCTAACTTCTCAGTTGCTCTCATACCTCTCTCTCAGCTATCCTTACTTCTCAGTTGCTCTCATACCACTCTCTCAGCTCCCCTAACTTCTCAGTTGCTCTCATACCACTCTCTCAGCTACCCTAACTTCTCAGTTGCTCTCATACCACACTCTCAGCTACCCTAACTTCTCAGTTGCTCTCTTACCACTCTCTCAGCTACCCTAACTTCTCAGTTGCTCTCATACCACTCTCTCAGCTACCCTAACTTCTCAGTTGCTCTCATACCACTCTCTCAGCTACCCTAACTTCTCAGTTGCTCTCATACCACTCTCTCAGCTACCCTAACTTCTCAGTTGCTCTCATACCACTCTCTCAGCTACCCTAACTTCTCAGTTGCTCTCATACCACTCTCTCAGCTACCCTAACTTCTCAGTTGCTCTCATACCACTCTCTCAGCTCCCCTAACTTCTCAGTTGCTCTCTTACCACTCTCTCAGCTACCCTAACTTCTCATTTGCTCTCATACCACTCTCTCAGCTACCCTAACTTCTCATTTGCTCTCATACCACTCTCTCAGCTACTCTAACTTCTCAGTTGCTCTCATACCACTCTCTCAGCTACCCTAACTTCTCAATTGCTCTCATACCACTCTCCCAGCTACACTAACTTCTCAGTTGCTCTTATACCACTCTCTCAGCTACCCTAACTTCTCAGAGTTGCTCTCATACCACTCTCTCAGCTACCCTAACTTCTCAGTTGCTCTCATACCACTCTCTCAGCTACCGTAACTTCTCAGTTGCTCTCGTACCACTCTCTCAGCTACCCTTACTTCTCAGTTGCTCTCGTACCACTCTCTCAGCTACCCTAACTTCTCAGTTGCTCTCATACCACTCTGTCAGCTACCCTAACTTCTCAGTTGCTCTCATACCACTCTCTCAGCTACCCTAACTTCTCAGTTGCTCTCATGCCACTCTCTTAGCTACCCTAACTTCTCAGTTGCTCTCATACCACTCTCAGCTACCCTAACTTCTCAGTTGCTCTCATACTTCCCTCTCAGCTATCCTAACTTCTCAGTTGCTCTCATACCACTCTCTCAGCTACCCTAACTTCTCAGTTGCTCTCATACCACTCTCAGCTACCCTAACTTCTCAGTTGCTGTCATACCACTCTCTCAGCTACCCTAACTTCTCAGTTGCTCTCATACCACTCTCTCAGCTACCCTAACTTCTCAGTTGCTCTCATATCACTCTCTGTTACCCTAACTTCTCAGTTGCTCTCATACCACTCTCCCAGCTAACCTAACTTCTCAGTTGCTCTCATACCACTCTCTCAGCTACCGTAACTTCTCAGTTGCTCTCTTACTTCTCTCTCGGCTACCCTAACTTCTCAGTTGCTCTCATAGCACTCTCTCAGCTATCCTAACTTCTCAGTTGCTCTCATACCACTGTCTCAACTGCCCTAACTTCTCAGTTGCTCTCATAGCACTCTCTCAGCTACCTTGACTTCTCAGTTGCTCTCATACTTCCCTCTCAGCTACCCTAACTTCTCAGTTGCTCTCATACCACTCTCTCAGCTACCCTGACTTCTCAGTTGCTCTCATACTTCCCTCTCAGCTACCCTAACTTCTCAGTTGCTCTCATACCACTCTCTCAGCTACCCTAACTTCTCAGTTGCTCTCATACCACTCTCTCAGCTACCTTGACTTATCAGTTGCTCTCATACCATTCTCTCAGCAGCCCTAACTTCTCAGTCTTCCTCGTTCATTCTTATCACCTGATATTTAACTCTTGTCTTCTGTCTTATACTGCTGAATTAGTGTGGGTTCTCATTTTATCTTTGAAGTTTTATGTTGTGTAAGTGTCGCATACCTTCTCTTCGTGTTCTGGCATATTCATTTGTAATTCCGTGTTCCCTCTGGCTCATACACTGCTGCTATCTCTGAGAAGTTTGTTGTCATCTTGTATCACCTTGGATCCTCCGGTTATTATAGTTCCTGATATCTACCTGGAGGTTATTCCGGGGATCAACGCCCCCGCGGCCCGGTCCACGACCAGGAAAGGCAGGAAAGTTACAAATATTAAGGTTTTCCTGTTCTTCAACATGCCTCTGGTTCTTAACCACATATACCGGTCCACCTGTTACTGTATATACACCAAGAGCAGTTTACCTTAATGTATATTAAGAGGTGTATGTCTCACTGTGTATACACCCAGAGTTTACTTTAGTTCCTCTTTCGGTGATTAATGTAGTCATGAAATGTATCTTAATTTAAGACTGAAATCAGTGACGTACATTTGTTGAACACGTTCGGCACGTGGCTGAACCTTGAGTACCTTCCAGCTGTGGAGCCTCTGGGTCCGAGAGCTACTACCTGCGGGTGACGGGCGGGGACTCACTCAGCAGCGGGCGTGGAGTCACCAGGAACGGGCGCATGTGTGGCGGTGACTCTGCCTACAACAGCTCGGCGTCTCTCTACGTGCCCTACTCCGCCGCCCGGTCTCGAACTCCATCCCCCGGTGGTCGCCACGTCGCCAAGAAGCACCGAGAGAAGGGCGAGGACGTCAAAAAGGCCAGGAAGCAGGTAGGGAAGCTCTGCTTAATTAATAATAATCTTTATTTCTACAAGTACATGTACAAGGTATATAGGCCTAGCTGACATCAATGACATACTACTGTATACAAAGCCACTTGTTATACAGAGCATTTCGGGCAAATTGGGTCAATTTTGTCCCCAGGATGCGACCCACATCAGTCAACTAACACCCAGGTACCTATTTTACTGCTAGGTTGAACATGGACAGCAGGTGTCTTAAACACTTCCTAAGGTTTCCACCCATAACGGGAATCGAACCACGAACCTCAGTGTATTAGCTGAGTTCGCTAGCAATCGAGCTACGCTTGTGTAAAATCATCCTTTTGCACATCATTTAACCTGCTACATGCAAGGACCACGGTTCGAATGTCCGTCCGTTCTTCTGTTTATTCACATATAGGTGAGGTGAGTACATATACATAAGTATACATTTGCATAAGTATACAACCACTTACGTACCAGTATACGTATATACACAAATACAAGTTTACATGCACACAAAATACATATGCATACATACAGGTGCATATACAAACACACGCACACATACATACTCACATATATATGCACATGCATACACGTATATGCACAAATATTTATTACAAATGAACGAACATGTTTGTGTATGAGATATTGGTTATTTGTAGTGACATCCAAACTGTCATATCTGCGCCCCTCTGCGAAGACTGATAAATTATCAGTGATAATGTGTGAATGATGGTGAAAGCGTTTTCTTTTTTTGGGTCACCCTGCCTAGGGTGAAGTTAAGAATCCTTCCTCCGTAAGCCATGTGTATCGTAAGAAGCGATTAAAATGCCAGGAGAACGGTGCTAGTAACCACTTCTCCTGCATAAATATATATATATGGGAAGTACAATACCTACACTTTAAAAGGGGGGGGGGGATATTGGCAGTTTGGAGAGATATCTAAACTGCCGTATCTGAGCGCCTCTGCGACGACAGTGATTATGATTAAAGTTTTTTTTCTTTTTTGGTCACCTTACCTCGGTGGGAAACGACCGATGTGTTAAAAATAAATATGGACACACACTTACCAGGTATGTGTACATGCATGTATATGTGCATGTATACATTACCAAGATCGTACTGATGTACATACAACATATACACATGCATACATACGAAAAATAATATACGTATATTCATATTCATGCTCACACACACACTTTTTTGTGCTGCATCAGAATTTTATGACCACTCTGCAGAGTTCCTTTTGCTTACATAAAGGTAGAGGAGGCTGGGCTTAACGAGTACCAGGACACGTTTCTCGTATGGCTCAGCAACCGACTATATCTAATTTTGAATAAATGTAAGAATATACGGGGAGTCGAACTGTGGTGCGCATGCACACACAACAAGCCCAACACTGTGCTCATTCAGCCCAAAAAGCTTAAAAACACAAGAAAAAGGAACACTGCAAGAGGCCTACTGGCCTATGCGAGGCAAGTCCAATTCTCCCACCTATCTAGTAAGGTCAGACACGTCACTTAAGGGAGGAGCACGGCATCCGACCTAGTAGCACAAGCTAGTCAAGTCCAACTCACCCCCACTCATGTATTTATCCAACATATTTTTAAAACTAAACATCTTAGCTTCTTTGACGGTACTCGGGAGTTTGTTCCACTCATCCACAACTCTCTTACCAAACCAGTGCGTTCCTATATCCTTCCTGAATCTGAATTTTTCAAATTTAAAACCACTGCTGCGAGTCCTGTCTATGTTAGATATTTTTAGCTCACTATTTACATCCCCCTTATTAATTCCTGTTTTCCATTCATACACCTCAATAATTCTACACCTTTTTAGAGAGTGCAGATTCAGGGCCTCAGTCTAGCCCCATAGGGAAGATTTCTGATACATGGGACCAACTTTGACTCCTTACAAAGGAGAATGACAAAGCTTACATAATGATCATCGTATGTAAGCTCTGGGCTCGAGTGGTTACAACCTAGGACCTACTGTAGGCATCTACTATCGTTCGAATCCCCGTACATTCTTTTATTTGTTTATTAAAAGCTGTTCATTATGAAGAACAAAGAGGTACAATACCGTGGCCGGAACAGTGCACAAATAACTTGCACTTGTACCATTAACCAGTCAGTGTGACTAGTTAATGGTTCAAGCCGGACCGAAACGTTGTCTTAACCTTTCTCCTACGTGCGGGTTATTTGTGCATTGTTCATTATGACTTTAGTGTTCATGAACACTGAACTGGTGAATTATTAACAAAGTTCCTTACGCACATTTACAATGTTTCAGGACTGACAAACAGAGTTACACCCCGGGATGTATAAGATAACCTCCAGAGATGTATAACACCCCGGGATGTATAAGATAACCTCCAGAGATGTATAACACCCCGGGATGTATAAGATAACCTCCAGAGATGTATAACACCCAGGGATGTATAACACCCAGGGATGTATAACACCCAGGGATGTATATCATCCAGGAATGTATATCATCCAGGGGCGTATATCATCCAGGGGCGTATATCATCCAGGGGCGTATATCATCCAGGGGCGTATATCATCCAGGGATGTATATCGTCCAGGGATGTATATCGTCCAGGGATGTACATCATCCAGGGATGTATATCATCCAGGGATGTATACCATCCAGGGATGTATATCATCCAGGGATGTATATCATCCAGGGATGTATATCATCCAGGGATGTATATCATCCAGGGATGTATATCATCCAGGGATGTATAACACCCAGGGATTCATATCACCCAGGGGTGTATATCATCCAGAGATGTATAACATCCAGGAATGTATATCATCCAGGGGTGTATATCATCCAGGGGCGTATATCATCCAGAGATGTATAACATCCAGGAATGTATATCATCCAGGGGTGTATATCACCCAGGGGTGTATATCATCCAGAGATGTATAACATCCAGGAATGTATATCATCCAGGGGTGTATATCATCCAGGGGTGTATATCATCCAGGGGCGTATATCATCCAGGGATGTATATCATCCAGGGATGTATAACACCCAGGGATGCATAACACCCAGGAGTGTATATCATCCAGGGATGTATAACATCCAGGAGTGTATATCATCCAGGGATGTATAACATCCAGGAGTGTATATCATTCAGGGATATATGAGATATCTGGTTGTAAATGTTTGCGTGGATACCAGCGACCGCTTGGGGTGGTGATGGGACTCAATACTACGTATATTTTCTTAACTGCTAATTATACACTTGGGTAATAAGGAAGAGTGAGACAAACAAGTGGGGATAAGGTCTTGCCTCATCCACAAAGTTAAGTGGAATTTCCAGTTTAGCATATTAACTTTCCCGTCCAGGGATGCACCATCTGGGAGAGGGTGTCAATATTTGCGTGTGGATATTAACTAGGATGTGGTCCTGGGATTATAATTTAAAACCGAAGTCACAAGTAACATTTTCTCCAGTGTTCCAGTACATGCACGTCGAGGTACTAGGAATGACAGAGCCATTGTGTATCCTTTAGCCTGACAGTGGCTTGAAGAGCAGTGGTAGCGCCTTCGGCTCAAAATAAAGACCTGAATTCAATCATTATGTTCCAAAACCAGTGTCAAACTTGCATGGGTCATACTACCTTGGTGCTCAATTCTGGTGCAGGTGGAAATGTATGAACGATTCTCCATACACGTGTTAGTGGAGGGTTGTTGATAGCATTCTCTGAAGTAGTAGTATACCTTAGATAGGACTGGACTTTAAAGACTGATGGAGGATAACTCTTAGCCTGGAACTTCAGTGGCCATAAAAATAATCCTTCAAAAATGTAGAGAATCCCTCAAGCAGAGTATAAACCTTAGATCTTTTGGAAGAAGGGAATTGCACTTTTTTTTTTTTTTTTTTTTTTTTTTTGTAGATGAATATTTCTGTTCTGTGAGTTGTTTACAGTCGTGTTACTTCGATTTCGCGAGTTATTTATAAAATCTTTGAAAGAACATGAGCTAGAACTTGCCACAGTCACGTTGGTTCAAGACTCGACTGCATAAACCTGTTTGTAGTCACAGTAGAGCACATGATAACCATCCAAGTGTGTATAACAATACGCCAAGTTGGTTGAAGTTTATGAGGCTAGCAATAAAGACTGTGTTAATTATAATTTTGGTTTTTGAAGCATAAGTTCAAAAACCAGTGTTAAAAGTAACTAGGAAAACCAGTTTAAAATATAATGAAATGTGCTAAGTTCAACTTTTTAATGGAGAAAGTTACACTATCAGTGGACTAGATGTCGTTGTTATTGCTTGACTACAGCTAATTTGTTAATGCAGTGCAGAGGTAGGGCCGGCCACCAACACTATGAAATCTTTAGACAAAGGTTAACACCCTTGTACTTCTACCTAGGCACATGTGTCTTATTTATCTTCTACCTAGACACGTGTGTCGTATTCATCTACCTTCTATCTAGGCACATGTCTTATTCATCTACCTTCTACCAAGGCACATGTGTCTTGTTCATCTACCCTCTACCTAGGCACATGTCTTATTTATCTTCTACCTAGACACATGTCTTATTCATCTACCTTCTATCTAGGCACATGTCTTATTTATCTACCCTCTACCTAGGCACATGTCTTATTTATCTACCCTCTACCTAGACACATGTCTTATTCATCTACCCTCTACCTAGGCACATGTCTTATTTATCTTCTACCTAGACACATGTCTTATTCATCTACCTTCTATCTAGGCACATGTCTTATTCATCTACCTTCTACCAAGGCACATGTGTCATGTTCATCTACCCTCTACCTAGGCACATGTCTTATTTATCTTCTACCTAGACACATGTCTTATTCATCTACCTTCTATCTAGGCACATGTCTTATTTATCTACCCTCTACCTAGGCACATGTCTTATTTATCTACCCTCTACCTAGACACATGTCTTATTCATCTACCCTCTACCTAGGCACATGTCTTATTTATCTTCTACCTAGACACATGTCTTATTCATCTACCTTCTATCTAGACACGTGTCTCATTCATTAATCTTCCATCTAAGTTGAGGGGACTAACTGCTTCATCTTTCACCGCCTTCAGTATGTAATCTCTGTATTGAACTGAAAAAGTCACTGGCGACACGTCTTTACAATAAAACTTCTCAGTTGTTGCTCAGTACGGAAGACTTGATGAAACTAGTGGCTATTGTCGACTCTTATTGTAACAACGTTCATAATTATGTAGACAGAGGTAGCTGTACATAACACACAAAATAGAGATAAAGGGAATTTCTACATTTTTCTTTGTGTTTTGCTTCTTCGTCAGCCTGGCCATTGTTATACTCTTGAGAAATTATCCTGACAGAAAGACACTGTTGCAGAAAGTGGATTAGAGAGTCCCTTTGTTGTGTGTTGCCTTCCCTGTGAAGTGCACACACCCACTCACCAACATACTTTCTTCCTGACTATAATGATTTGTAGCAGCGAGGATTTTATATAAATTACTAAATCGTGGAACGGGTGGGGGTTGAACCCATGGCAGGTGAGAGCTAAAACTCACAGGCCAATGTGTTAACCACTCGGCCATAGGCAGGTGGACGTGGCCCACTACTGTGACAATAAATGCAGGTTTTTACAGGTGAATCTCAAACCAGCGTTTCTGTAGGGAACTCTAACTCAGGTCCCTTCAAAGCTATCATAACTCACCAGTCAAGAGATATAAGTTACTGATATATTAATCAATAATCTCTCTTTAATAATAATAATAATAATAATGGTTGTGGTGAGATCTCGGGGGTTATGATTGTTTTTCAGTCTTGTGAGAGGGAGAAACATCTTCGTCTCATCATGAATTAAAGTGTTGTAGTATATGCATTAATATGTCTTAATTTAACACGAAAATGCTAAGAAATTTCTACTTTAAATAACAGAGGAATGCTGATAGCTCTTTCAATAAATTGTTATTGTTAATAAGCTTGAAACTTCAATTTTGGGATTGAATTATCAGCATGAGAGATCATTATTATACAGTGAGTACTTCCAAACTTTCCTATATGTTTTTTACATAAATTTTCATTAGACAAATGACTAGGAATTAGTGTAAAATCTAGTGAATGTTGCAAAGGTTTATGTTTGATGCGCGAACATACTTTATTCTGGTAAAATGTGTGTGTGTGGGGGGAGGTTAGCATCTAGTAGAGCCAAATAAGTGTTACATGCTGGTAGGTCAAGTGTGGAGTACAAAGTGTTACATGCTGGTAGGTCAAGTGTGGAGTACAAAGTGTTACATGCTGGTAAGTCAAGTGTGGAGTACAAAGTGTTACATGCTGGTAAGTCAAGTGTGGAGTACAAAGTGTTACATGCTGGTAAGTCAAGTGTGGAGTACAAAGTGTTACATGCTGGTAGGTCAAGTGTGGAGTACAAAGTGTTACATGCTGGTAGGTCAAGTGTGGAGTACAAAGTGTTACATGCTGGTAGGTCAAGTGTGGAGTACAAAGTGTTACATGCTGGTAGGTCAAGTGTGGAGTACAAAGTGTTACATGCTGGTAGGTCAAGTGTGGAGTACACAGTGTTACATGCTGGTAGGTCAAGTGTGGAGTACACAGTGTTACATGCTGGTAGGTCAAGTGTGGAGTACGAAGTGTTACATGCTGGTAGGTCAAGTGTGGAGTACAAAGTGTTGCATGCTGGTAAGTCAAGTGTGGAGTACAAAGTGTTACATGCTGGTAGGTCAAGTGTGGAGTACAAAGTGTTACATGCTGGTAGGTCAAGTGTGGAGTACAAAGTGTTGCATGCTGGTAAGTCAAGTGTGGAGTACAAAGTGTTACATGCTGGTAGGTCAAGTGTGGAGTACAAAGTGTTACATGCTGGTAGGTCAAGTGTGGAGTACGAAGTGTTACATGCTGGTAGGTCAAGTGTGGAGTACAAAGTGTTACATGCTGGTAGGTCAAGTGTGGAGTACAAAGTGTTACATGTTGGTAGGTCAAGTGTGGAGTACACAGTGTTACATGCTGGTAGGTCAAGTGTGGAGTACAAAGTGTTACATGCTGGTAGGTCAAGTGTGGAGTACACAGTGTTACATGCTGGTAGGTCAAGTGTGGAGTACAAAGTGTTATATGCTGGTAGATCAAGTGTGGAGTACAAAGTGTTACATGCTGGTAGGTCAAGTGTGGAGTACAAAGTGTTACATGCTGGTAGGTCAAGTGTGGAGTACAAAGTGTTACATGCTGGTAGGTCAAGTGTGGAGTACAAAGTGTTACATGCTGGTAGGTCAAGTGTGGAGTACAAAGTGTTACATGCTGGTAGGTCAAGTGTCGAGTACAAAGTGTTACATGCTGGTAGGTCAAGTGTGGAGTACAAAGTGTTACATGCTGGTAGGCCAAGTGTCGAGTACACAGTGTTACATGCTGGTAGATCAAGTGTGGAGTACAAAGTGTTACATGCTGGTAGGTCAAGTGTGGAGTACAAAGTGTTACATGCTGGTAGGTCAAGTGTGGAGTACAAAGTGTTACATGCTGGTAGGTCAAGTGTGGAGTACAAAGTGTTACATGCTGGTAGGTCAAGTGTGGAGTACAAAGTGTTACATGCTGGTAGGTCAAGTGTGGAGTACAAAGTGTTACATGCTGGTAGGTCAAGTGTGGAGTACAAAGTGTTACATGCTGGTAGGTCAAGTGTGGAGTACAAAGTGTTGCATGCTGGTAGGTCAAGTGTGGAATACAAAGTGTTACATGCTGGTAGGTCAAGTGTGGAGTACAAAGTGTTACATGCTGGTAGGTCAAGTGTGGAGTACAAAGTGTTACATGCTGGTAGGTCAAGTGTGGAGTACAAAGTGTTACATGCTGGTAGGTCAAGTGTGGAGTACAAAGTGTTACATGCTGGTAGGTCAAGTGTGGAGTACAAAGTGTTACATGCTGGTAGGTCAAGTGTGGAGTACACAGTGTTACATGCTGGTAGGTCAAGTGTGCAGTACAAAGTGTTACATGCTGGTAGGTCAAGTGTGGAGTACACAGTGTTACATGCTGGTAGGTCAAGTGTGGAGTACAAAGTGTTACATGCTGGTAGGTCAAGTGTGGAGTACACAGTGTTACATGCTGGTAGGTCAAGTGTGGAGTACAAAGTGTTACATGCTGGTAGGTCAAGTGTGGAATACACAGTGTTACATGCTGGTAGGTCAAGTGTGGAGTACAAAGTGTTACATGCTGGTAGGTCAAGTGTGGAGTACACAGTGTTACATGCTGGTAGGTCAAGTGTGGAGTACAAAGTGTTACATGCTGGTAGGTCAAGTGTGGAGTACAAAGTGTTACATGCTGGTAGGTCAAGTGTCGAGTACAAAGCGTTACATGCTGGTAGGTCAAGTGTGGAGTACAAAGCGTTACATGCTGGTAGGTCAAGTGTGGAGTACAAAGTGTTACATGCTGGTAGGTCAAGTGTCGAGTACAAAGCGTTACATGCTGGTAGGTCAAGTGTCGAGTACAAAGCGTTACATGCTGGTAGGTCAAGTGTGGAGTACAAAGTGTTACATGCTGGTAGGTCAAGTGTCGAGTACAAAGTGTTACATGCTGGTAGGTCAAGTGTCGAGTACAAAGCGTTACATGCTGGTAGGTCAGGTGTCGAATACAAAGTGCTGTGCTTCTGCAGGTGATCAAGATGCTGATAGTTGTGGTGGTGCTGTTCTTGCTGTGCTGGGGACCCAGGCTCGTCATGGAGATGTGTATCAACCTTGGACTCCAGCAGTTCAACCAGGTCAGTAGCCCGTCACCTCACCCACAGTGCATTACTAATATATATATATATATATATATATATATATATATATATATATATATATATATATATATATATATATATATATATATATATATATATATATTATCAATCTTGTACAATCTGAAGATTCTTCAAGACTACAGTTTTCATCACCTCCAAGGCTGAGGGACTGATTGCCTCGTCTTTTGTATGTACTTCTACAGTCATACACGTTACATCTATGTATTGCATTAATAAAGCCACTGGATGGCGAAACGTCTCAAATTATAGATACCCAGATGTTGCAAACGTGTCTAATTCTTAATGTGGTGATATATGGTGGGGGTCTGGATCTTCCTGAGATAATATGGGAATGATGTAAAGCTTGGTAATAAATACCGACAAATTGAATTTAGAAAGACACGTGAACAAACACTAGGATATACTTATTAGAAAACGTTCAAGTCCTGGTACCTTGATCACTTCTAGCATACTCCTCTCTCAGCCTTTATGTACTGTCATTTTAATGTGTGAGTGTTAGTGATTAAGCTCCCAGGAGCGAAACGTTTTCTAATGAATAAGTGCTAATGTTGCTGACATGTCTTTCTAAAGCAACAAGAGAAGTCTTCGTGCATGTCCAAATTTATTTTATAGAAGAAATTGGATTATTACTTTACATATGATAAATTGTGAATGACTCCTCTAACACGATTAAAATTTCAGTGGTTATATTTAAATACTTTAGAAACTATCCCTGTCACGTGTACAGGGGGTTGGGGTTATGCAGTACGGGGATGCATTTCTCGGGGCGCGCATCGGCTGATGTGTATCTAGTTTGGTCATGAGATAACTTTCTCTATACTGGGATGGTTCTCAAGCTGATGCAATCGAACTGCAGACGTGGCTGGCACATCCGTCACCGTCAGCAACCATGTCCGACGATATTAGCAACAAAGGTGTCCTAAGTGAAGGCATTCGTGTTCATTTACCTACAGATGTTAGTATTCGTTTGCCTTCTTACTATATATTAGCACTGCAGTCTTAGTCATACACTGCTTTGGGAACTGTGTAGTTGACATCCGTAGTCAGCGCGAGCGTGAACACCTTCATGTCTCCAGAATAAAGACACTCGTCCCTCTCCTTCGTTGTCGTTATCGGAACACCCCGGACTGAATCAGGTTTGACTGCCTCGTCCTCTCATCGACGGTCTGATGACGATGTCTTCATGTCTTCAAGTATACACCCCTCAAGGAAGGTTCCTTGATGTTGGTGAGGGGCTCTTGATTTAGGGAATTGGATCTGTGCTCCAGTTCCCCGAATTAAGCCTGAATGCCTTCCACATCCCCCCCCAGGCGCTGTATAATCCTCCGGGTTTAGCGCTTCCCCCTTGATTATAATAATAATTCAAGTATACAAGTTCTCATCCTCGTGCATCTGCTTCAGATTTATCAAGGGAAGTGAACACCTCTCAAGGCTGGAGACTGTGCACCTCAAGCTTTCCTCTATACTTCTACTGTCTCCCGTATGTACCCCTTTGTATGAACTGATGAAGCCACTGTGTCTAATTTATCAAGCAGTGTGACTTACTTTCATGAGATTCTCTGGTTCTCTTTTTTTAGGATGCGAACCACAACAAACGGTTATCACCCAGCAACCTACTTAATTCCAGGTCAACAGAGACAACAAGTGTAAGAAAACATGTCCAGCGTCTCGACCCGCCCCAGGACTGAACCAGAGTTCTTTGCCTATAGCTGTAGGACGAACTTCCGTTCAACCACTGCCGTTCAACCACTCGTTCAACCATTGCCATGCAACCACTGCCGTTCAACAACTGTCGTTCAACCACTGTCGTTCAACCACTGTCGTTCAACCATTACCATGCAACCACTGCCGTTCAACAACTGTCGTTCAACCACTGTCGTTCAACCACTGTCGTTCAACCATTGCCATGCAACCACTGCCTTCAACTAGATTCCCTCCATGGCGCGGGGGATGGGGGAGGGGGGTTCTTTGATGCCAGTAAAGGGCTCTTGATGACAGGAATTGAATCAAACCTGATTGCCTCCCATTCCCCAGGTGCTGAATGATTCCTATGGCTTTAAAGCTTCATCGTGAATGACATTCTAATACGGCCCAGACTGACAATCAGTTGTTCTCCCCGCTTGCTGCCTCATTTGTGCTGAGAATTACGTTATACATTCCCTTTAGAACCATGTTAAGCGTGAAGCTAAGGTTGCTGTGTGCTGGAGTGGGTAGACTTATATAGGCAGGAAGCAGCTCATCCCTGACAGGTAGGTTAGGTAAGATTCGTCAGGAAACGGGATAAGTGTTGCCTAATGCGGTTCTCAGTCATATGATCCACCACTGGAGCTTTAGGTTATCTGACGGAGGTCTTCCACTGGCTTACCGGTTCATCCCTTTAAAAATTAATATTGACAGGTAGACTTCCATCTACCAAATATTCTAATGTGACCCGTCATACTAACGCTCCCTAGTGCATAACCGTTTCCAGTTCTTTTATTTGGATCTGGATATTCCGTTACCTAGGGTATCTTTCATCTGTTGGCCCTTCCCTCAACTCTGCTGCATCTACTACTCTGGTTAAAGCAGAGAATCAGGAGTCTGTCCTCCCGTCAACACTCAAGGAAGACACTCCATGCCTCTCCATTTGCCATGTCGCAGATTAATGACACACCACGGAAGAGGTCTTTCTATTTACCTTTTGTTGTCGTTTCATTTCTTTCTGCTGTCTTCTCTACTCTTGTGTTCTTCTTCAGCCATTTCCTGTTAAACACGCGGACAATGATGTCTCCTAAAACGTCTGCTCTTACTTTAAAATACACAGTCGTTTAACTGCGAGACAGTATCTTTACTATTGGTCACCGTCCCCATCTCCTGTACTTGATGAACAAGACTCGTGTGCAACAGTTAGGTATATTTATTGTTGAAACGTTTCGCCTACGTGGTAGGCTTCATTAGACATATACAGAGCGATAAAGAAAGTAGTGAGTCTTAGGAAAGAGGCTGTCAGGGGCAGGTATGAGTGCTAAGGTCTCAAAGTTAGGGTAGCTTTGAGACAGTTATTGGCGAAAGAAAACAACGCAAATTTGCCGTTTCGCCCATTGCCGGCGAAAAGGCAGAGGAAAGACCAAAGCGAGGGAGCTAAGCTGATGCTGGGAAAGTGTCTCGGAAGACTAGTAACACAATCACTGAGGGAAAGTTTTGACTAAGGGGTTGTTAGAGATAAGATGGTGCAGTTTTTCCTGTAAGGCCGATTTCCCTTAACCTTTCTTCATAGGACAATCCCCTTAGCTCTAGAACTAGTCTTGTTGCAAATCTTCGCACTTTCTCTAATTTCTTGACTTGCCTGACCAGGTGTGGATTCCAGGCTGGTGCTGCATACTCCAAATATGGGCCTGACGTATATGATGTACAGAGTCTTGAACGATTCCTTACTGAAGTATCGAAACGCTATTCTCAGGCTTGTCAGACGCCCGTATGCTGCAGCAGTTTTCTGACTGATGTGCGCCTCACGAGATGTGCTCGGTATTATACTCACCCCAAGATCTTTTTCCTTGAGTGAAGTTTGCAGTCTTTGGCCACCTAGACTATACTCTGTCTGTGGTCTTCTTGCCCTTCCCCGAGCTTCATGTCTTTGCACTTGGCGGGGTTAAATTCAAGGAGTCAGTTGCTGTACCAGGGTTGTAGCCTGTCCAGGTCTGTTTGTAGTTCTGCCTGATCCTCTACCGATTTAATTCTCCTCATTGACTTCACATCATCTGCAAACAGGGACACTTCTGAGTCTGTCCCTTCCGTTATGACATTCACATATACCAAAAACAACACAGGTCCTAGGACTGACCACTGTGGAACCCCGCTCGTCACAGGTGCCCACTCTGACACCTCGTCATGTATCATGACTCGTTGTTGCCTCCCTGTCATACATTCTCTGATCCAGTGCAGTGCCTTTCCTGTTATGCGTGCCTGATTCACTAGCTTTTGCATTAACCTCTTGTGAGGAACTATGTCGAAGGCCTTCTTGCAGTCCAAGAAAATGCAGTCTATCCACCCCTCTCTCTCATGTCTTACTTCTGTTACCTTGGCATAAAACTCCAATAAGTTTGTGAGACAGGATTTTCCTTCCCTGAAATCGTGCTGGTTGTCGTTTATAAGGTTGTGTCTTTCTAGGTGCTCCACCACTCTCCTGATGATGATCTCCATAACTTTGCATACTATACACGTCAGTGACACAGGTCTGTAGTTTAATGCCTTGTGTCTTTCTCCATTCTTAAATACTGGGACTACATTTGCCATCTTCCATACCTCAGGTAGTTGCCCAGTTTCATTGGATGTATTGATTTTTGTTAGTGGCACACACAGCATCTTTGCTCCCTCTCTAAGGACCCACGGAGAGATGTCAGGTCCTACCGCCTTTGAGGTATCAAGTTCACATAGCAGCTTCTTCACCTCCTCCTCGGTTGTGTGTATTTCATCCAGCACTTGTTGGTGTACCTCCTTATTCTGAATTCCTGGAGTCCTTCCTGTCTTCACTATAAATACTTCTTTAAATCTTATGTTGAGCTCCTCGCATACCTCTTGGTCGTTTCTTGTGGACTCCCCGCCTTCCTTCCTCAGCCTGATTACCAGGTCCTTGACTGTTGTTTTCCTCCTGATATGGCTATACAACAGCTTCGGGTCAGACTTAACTTTTGATGCTGTCATTTTCATATTGTCGCTGAGCCTCCCTTCTTATCTCTGCATATTCGTTTCTGGCTCTTCGGCTAATCTCATTATTTTCCTGTGTCCTTTGTCTTCTGTACTTTTTCAATTCTCTAGTGCACTTAGTTTTTGCCTCCCTACACCTCTGGGTGAACCAAGGACTCGTTCTGATCTTCCCAATATTTCTTTTTACCTTGAGAACAGACCTCTCCTCTGCCTCCTTGCATTTTGTTGTCACATAGTCAATCATTTCTTTTACTGGTTTTCCTGCCAATTCT